AGTGAACTTTTTTCAGTTGTAAAAACTTTTTTCCCAAACTATGATTTTAAAGTTATGTCAAATAGATGACAAAGAAGACAATATGCTGAATCAGTTTTTAGAGAGTTTATAACTTTTACTTGTTCATAATTTTTTATTACCCTGTATTTAGCACATTTAATGCCTAATGTAGAGTCTAGTGCGTTTTTTGCTCAGGTTTAGCACATTTCATGCCTAATTTAGAGTCTAGTGCATTTTTTGCAGGCTTATGTAGCCGACTGTTTTTTTTACGGCTCGGCACTCTTAAGAAATATCCGGTTCCGGCTCGATTCCCGGTTCGGCTCCGGCTAACAAACTTTATGAAAATTTTAGAAAATTTTTTTTCGTCACATTTGCTAACCTAAAACTATACCAATTACAGCAATTAAATTTTCACTAACTTTCATGATTAAATGGTTATTGTATTACTATCGCTACTCTACTACCGGATAATATATTTGAAAAGAAAAATGTTTTGGGTAAATAAGCACTTTTTTCTATATATAATATTTACCTAAAACTAGAGTTTTTAGTTCAAATTTTAGTTCTAATTCTACCCAGGGGGCACGGTACCTAAAAAAGACGTCTTTTGAACGTCCCAAAGACGTCCAAAACTTTCAAAAGACATCAAAAATGTTCAAAAGACGTTTAAAACGTCTTTCTTACCTCCTTACTGAGTCCCGTGCCCTTGGATACCCAGTGGCACGGGACTCAGTGCCCACTGCTCCAAAGACGTTTAAAAGACCTCTTTGTATGTCCCGTGCCCACTGGGTAAAACATGCGATCGTTAAATTCAAAAGGATAAAAAATTCAAAAAAAATGAAAAATAGTTGAAAAAAATGCAAAAACTATAAAAAAATATTTATTTTAATCTAAGGAACTTGAAGATTATAAAAGTGCTTTTTATTTTAATATTTTTCATTATTTTAAATAAATAAGCGAACATTTACGCTAATTGACAACATCAACTTTTGCACAGTGTCTTTGGCAAATTTCTTTTCTACTAATGTCCACTCTCTAATCAAACCTTTAGCTGTATTTATTGCTTTGCCAGTCTTACACTAATATCCTTTGCCAATTCCCCCGATTTTTCCAATGGAATAAAACTGTGTGCAGATTGATGGACTCAAGCTATTTGGTATGAATTTGATATCTCTCGAACTGTACCGCTCTTCTTAGAATAAAGGGGACCTCGCAACTTGGATAAAATTGCAAAAAACTAGTTTGCAAGTATTCTTTGATGTAAATATCTGAGTTTAAAGTTGATGATGTAACAAAAGCTCGAGATCTCAAACCACAGCTGCATACTGCTTGCCAAAATTTAATCTTTAAAAAACTCTGTAACTTTATACCTTTGGCTCGTTCTCCGTTCGATAAGCGGGGGTTTTGCGTGAATGATCGTCGAATACTAATTGCTGCTTTTTTATCCTTAAAGCCACTCTTTCTTCCAGATCCTTTTGCTTGTTCGATAGATAGAGAGCTCTTGTATTGTTTTATGACCATATAAACAGTAGTTTTGCTATATTTAGATCCTTTAGCAATTGAAAGTAACAATGCAGAAGGATTATGTAGATAATTGTGCAGAATTTTTTTTAAGCAGAAATTTTAATGAAGAGAAACATTTTTACTTGTTTGTTGATGTTTTTAATTAACACTGTAATTACTTAATGTAATTACGCGAAAAAATATAAATTAATAATGTGTTAATGACAAAATTTAAAACGAAATTCATCGTTCCAAATTTAACGATTTCATCATAGGCGTAGAACGCGCTGGGTGCTGGCCCGGGGGCTAAAATTATAACAAATAATTGTTATAATTTTAATTGTCCATTAACTTTTAAGTAATAAGTTGTATGAAGTTGTACAATAAGAAGGTTAGTGAATACTTTTCAAAAAAAAAAATTCAAATTGAAACAGTTGCATTATTTTCCGAATCTCAAAATGCTAATAACTTCCAAGATAATACTCATGAAAGTTTATCATTTTTTCAATCAGATGATGCTACTGATTCAACTGCTGTTATTGAGTCGCCGTCTTTTACAGAGGAGCCTGGACCTTGTTGTTCAAGACAGTCATCTTTTCCATTAAAAAAGGAAAAAAAAAAAAATAAACAAAGCTGGAATGAAAAATATAAATGGGTTTTACATGACCGCGAGAAACAAAAGATTTTTTGTTCTACCTGCATCAAAGCTACCCAAATGAAAATGCCTTTACCTCGTAGTTCAAGAGAAAAGGATTCGTACGAAGCTTTTATTTTAAACAGATTTTTTAATTGGAAGCAACACTCTAGTGTTGCTTCCAATTAAAAATCGCCAAAAAAAAAAAAAATGATGGATAGTTGTACGGCTTTATCAAAAGTATTTACAACACTTCTTTATTTGGTAATTTCTCAATTTCGTTTAAGAAAAATTTAGATTAACTATCAATCGTTAAATTTATTTACTGGACAACTATTTACTTATTTTATTTACTGTTTATTATTTATTTACTGTTTCTTCTTCATGTATTAGGGAACGCAAGGCCTTGCCATTCGTGGAAAGGTTGAAAATAATTCAAACTTTTGCATGCTACTCAAACTTTTTTTTAGCATATTATTTTAGGCAAGTTATAATGTTAAATGTTTATTGAAAATTATTTTAGGCATGCAGCTTAATTTTTGCAAAGCAAGAAATGCCATCAGCACACTTAAGGAGGTGTTAAAAGAAGCCCGTGGTGATACTTGCTTCAAAGTCTTATGGGATGCAACCGTTGTAGCAGCAGAATGTAGTTTAATTGACAAACCAGAGATGCCAAGGAAACGTAAAATTACATCAAAATTTACTGGAAGTGGAGTTCCATATTTTGCTACGACTCCAGAAGACCATTACCGCCAGCATTTCTATCCATCTATGGATTGTGTTATAACGGGATTTGCAACCCGTTTCAAACCGACTGAGACCACTGAGCATTTAGCTAATGTAGAAAAATTTATCATTGGTAAGTGCTTGGAAGTTGGATTCGTTGAGGCTTTTTAGAGCAAAGATAACTTTGAAGATTATAGAAGGCTACAACTCCATCGCGATATATTTGTGGATCATGCGAAATTCAGGAATATTAAACTAAATGATTTTGAATCAGTTTAGAATAAAATTGTAGACCATGATGGTGTCCTTTCTCACTTAATTCTACTGCTTCCCGAGTTTGTGAAACTGGTGAAGATTTTACTATGTATGCTTGCCACCTCATGTGTGAGCGTTCTGTTTCTTGCCTTCGTAGGCTAAAGACTTATTTGCTTTCTACAATATCTCAAGAGCAATTGAATCATCTTGCTATTTTAAATTGCTATCGCGATATTTTAAATTGCTATCGCGATATTGTCTACACTCTTGATCTTGATCATTTGATCGATGAGTTTATAATGAGCCCCACCGTACGCATGAACACATTTTACTAGAGAAAATAAATTACATTTTTATACCCATTGAAAAAACTTTTTATTTCTTATTATAGATTTCAACTCCTGCAAAATAGTTTATGTCCCATCCAGGAAAACTAAAACTCTACGCCTATGGATGTTTTAGTATAATTTAAAAGATAAGAATAACCTTTGATCATTAAACTGCGCATTAAGTATTGAACAGCATAATATCATTATAAAAATACAATATAAAGCAATTTATGCAACACTGTAATGTTTCCATAAATAATTTACTTTTTTTTAAATAAACCATATTACGAAATTCTATTACTGGATAGTATTTTGTTGAGCACAAAATTGTTAAAATATTCATTTTTATTACATTTTGGCAAGACCGTAACTGTTAGAAAAAAGAAAAAAAAAAAAAAGAAATTCAATTAATAATTCACTCAACAAATTAGTTAAACAATAAATGAATAAAGCTTGTCTACGTTAAAAAAAATATACATTCTATTCTAAAAAATTATTAAAAAACAAAACACGAGAGCCGAGGGCCGCTCGATTTTTGCGGCTCCGGCTACACCAAAAAACAGCGGCTCCCCGGCTCCGGCTCAGCTCCACAGGCCTGGTTTTTTGATCGTATCGGGAGAAAGCAAATTTTATCATTTTCAAAATGAGAAAATTAATCATAAATTGTAAACACAACGAAATTTTTGATGAAATTAGAAATCTATTGATAAATGTATATTTAAAATCTTTTTTTCCTCGCGTGTAATGGAGGGATTTTATAATTGGAGAGACTGTTTTTTGTAAAACGTCCTGTTTGTAAAAATTATGAAAATACAAAGGATATTGCATTATAGCTTGATTCAATGCCGGATAAGAGGGGGGGGGGAGGAATTTAGCCTCTTTTTTTTTTTAAATTTTAGAAGACCTTTTTTTTTTTAGTCATTTTTAGGCTCTGGCCCATATAAAGGCCTCCGAAAACAAAAATAGCCCTGGGCCCCAAGAAGTCTTAATCCGCCACTGGCTTGATTATTATCAGCTATCTTGAACATGAAAAAATGCACTTAAAACGCTTTTTAAAAAACATGTAATAACCCGGGAAATATTAAATTTAAGGTATGGGCAGAGTTAACTCTGTTGATTTTTTTCAAGTAACCTCATTGGATCATGAGTTTTTTTAATAAACTTTTCTTGAACTTTTAAAATAAACTTTAAACAAAAGTTTTTTATTTTATTTTAAAATGTTACTTGTTTTGAAATCCAAGAAACCCTGAAACCATCACTAAAACAACGACTGCACAAAAATTAGAAGAAAATTATTTTTAAAATAATTAAACAATGTCAGTACCATAATTTTAAATATTTTTAACTTTTTTTATCATTTATTTATTTAGTACTTATTACTATTTGTAAATAACCTTGATGTAACAACTTTATTCAGAATATATTCAATTTGATTTGATTTTTTTTACATTAATTACTTTTTTCAAATAGAAATAAATAAAGTCACGTGATTTACAAAGATAACAAAACATCGGTTATTAAAAGTTGTCCAATCATCCTCGTTGGCGTACTTTTTGAATTAGTTGATTCGTTTTAAATCAAAAGGCTAACGTCCTTCTTTTCTTCTATCAAGGATTTACAACATTTAATCAAGTAAACTTATTCAATAAAATAATAAATCGGGACGTTAAGTAGTATCAAGTTCTCAAAGAAATTCTAAGTAAATTTATTCTCGTGATGAACAAAATTTCTAACACAGAAAAATATCGGCAGAAAATGGCTGAAAAACCCAAAATAACGACACTTCCTGTAGATAAAATTACTCCTGCACCTGAATTAGCCGAAGAAATTGTTAACCCTGATACTGGTGTAGTGTATATACGTGGGAAATTTCTTGGGAAAGTAAGAATATTATACTCATTTGTTATGTATAATTTTGATGCTATATATTGTTGCTATATATTGTTTTTCCTTTAAATTCTTTGAATACTGAATACGATAGAGTATTTTTCTTGTTGAAAATTAAAGATTAACTTGGTATAATTTTTTTTTATTTAATTGTGTTAAAATTTTAAATTTAAATACTAATTACAAATTTTTTATAAATTTTCTTGAAGTACAGCTCCAAAAAAAAAAATCTACTTTTATGTTAAACTTATAAAATGATGTCAAATTTACCAATAATAATTGTTTTAAAGGCTATTTAAGTTGTGATTTAATTTAGAAGTATTTTTGTGCTCAATAGAACCAGCTGTGTGAAGTGTTTTCCTATACCTAAATCTTATCATTGATTATATATAGTAAGTGTAGGTATTGAAATTTTTAAAATGATCAATTACTAGATAGTGATATATCATTTAAAAGTATTTAATACAGTTTTTTGAGCTTAAAATATTATAAAAACTTAATAATTAAATTTTTTGCGGAGGTGTATTTGATTCACGGGGTTAGGGAAGGGTGGCATTTCTTAGTTAATTTCAATTAAAAAACGGCTAAAATAAATCATCGTTTTAATCACATGTGAATCAAATACACCTCCGCCAAAATTTTTTTAAGTTTTTAAGTAACAAATTTTTGATATAAGGATTTGTTGAATAAACTGTGGTCAATATATAGTTTTTTTTAACCTAAATTGTTGTAACTTAGTCAATTCATGACTAAATGCTTATAAATTTAGCATCAAAAGATAGCTGTAACAAGGAAATACAAATTTATATTGTGATTTACCTGCTGGGTGTATCCATGGAACTAGAAGGGGTGTCGAACCATCACCTTTATAAAAAAAGGTGCACACATCCTACAATATGGTAAATGTAGTTTTATAACAATCATTTTAAACAATTGACATCATGTTAAGATCAACTAGAGCTCCCTATAATTTTTTTCGGAAATTTTATCACTTAAGGTATCTATTTTGTAAGTTTCATCACTTGAGATACCTTTTTGCAAATTTCATCATTTTTGGTATCTATTTTATAAGTTTTATTATTTGGGATAGTAAGTGATGAAACTTATTAAATAGATACCAAATTTACCATTAAAATGAGATACAATAAAAAAATACCTTTTTTCATTGAATCTCATTTTTATGTTAACAAAGTCTATCTTATGACAAGACATGCTTATAAAACATTACTTGCAGCATTCCCCCATTATCTATTGTAGGCCTTTTATTGTTTATTATTTGTATAAACAATATTTACTTATTGTCTTGCATACTAAATTTAATATTTTATAATCACTGTAACATGAATAGAGAACTTATATACTTAGGAACTTGAGAACCTCAATGAATGATTTAAAACTAATAAAATGTCTTTGAATAAAACTAAAAGTAAATATATTATCTTTTCGAAATCTTCTAAATCTGACATTCTTAATGTCTCTTGATGTTTTAATAGGTAGTTGTATTATATTCTTAGGCATACTACTTGATATTTGACTAAATACATTAGTTTAATAGAAAATGAAATTTCAAAAAGCATTAAAATTATGTACAAAAAAAGATATTTGGATAAAAACTATTAAAAATCTGTTTAGTTATTTAATTCTCTTTGGCTATATTAGTTACTGTAACATTTTTACGGCAAGCACTTGTTTGTTAAAACTAACACATACTTATAAAGAACAAAAAAATCCAAGCCAACTTATATTAAATGCAAATAGATACACTAGACAACATAGTTATAAGATATTAGACAGTGGATATACTCAACAACCTAGTGAGTTAACACTAGTGCTAATAACCACTGCTCAGAGAGTTCAGAGTGTTAAATGTTTATGAGTTAAATATTTATATTAAAGGTATCCCAGATAGAGTATCATGTCGGATATGTGGATCGGATTTGTATATTATCTGATATCTAGTATCTGGCTGGATAAAATAATCTGGTTGCCTATGCCAGATATTTCATTTTAATAAATAATAAGAAAAAAGCTTGTTTTAACTATTGCTGCAGTCTTGAAGATACACAATTTAGATCTAATCAAACCATTTAATTCAAAAAAAAAAAAAAATTTTGTTCAAGTTATATAGTTCAAATAAATAAGAATTAACTGAGCACAAGAAATACAGATTTTATCACTTATTTATGAATTTATTTGCATTATTATCTATAAATAATAGAATTTCTCTGCGTTAAGGTAACAAGGCCTTGATCGCTTTTTCTTATAAATATTTCCATTTTCAGAAAACAATCTTCTTGAAAAATGCAGAATATGCGGGTGGTTCTAATAATTTATGGACTAGTTTTTTTAGCAATATATGATAACCAAGGGGGCATCCATAAAGTATGTACGCAGTAAAACCACTGATTTAGAACCCCCTCCTACCTTGTATGAACATGTACACTTTCGAAGATCCCCCTCCCCCCGCATACGTACACATTATTTTTTTCAAATAAAGCCACCGTTTCTCTAACGCATAAATATTTAAAAACATTAAAAATAAAAAAAAAAAACATTTAGTTTATTTGACATTTCTCTGTACTTAATTAAAACTTAAAATATTACTTAATGTACTTATTTAAATCTTAAAATGTTACAATATATTTTAACATTTTAGAGAAATGATAAAAACCAGTTTGCATACAGTAATTTAAAAAAAAGAATTCAAAAAAAGTTTGCTTTTATTTGACGTCTTTTTGCTTCTCATCTCGCTACCAATTTCTCATTATTTATAAAAAAATAAAAAATAAAATTGTGACTGAATTCAGAAAAAAAAAACACAATACTGATTTGTTACACACATGAAGCTCAATGTTTTAAAAGTTTAGAAGGGATAGTCGAACAGCATATGCACTCACTGTCTTTAATACCTGCCCCCTCTTGTACGCATTCATACACTTTTGGGAAACCTCCCTCCCCCATAACTGCGTACGTACTTTATGGATGGCCCCCAACCATTTATTATTACTAATACTTGTGCATTCTAAAGCAATCATCATAGCTATTTTTTTATGCATTTGCTTCAGCTTATCATTATTAGTATCCCATATTAGTTTTTTAAATAATTTAATTAAATTAAACTTTAAATGTGAAATAAAAAAGCTTATGTCTAACTTAGATAGACATTTGCTTTTTCATTTCATGCATTTTCTTTACAATTAACATGCCATTCTCAGTTTATTTTTATTTTAATCTTTTATTCAATCTTATTGAAAATCTTCAATAGTGTAATTAACAAAGGTAATTCAAATATTTCATCTCTATTACATGGATCTAATCTTATTACGTCTCCTAAGGATAAGGCAGAACTATTTGCAAAGAATTTTTTGTTTTCAACTCTTGAATCTTATAATCCTTCTCTCCCTGTCTTTGCTGAGAAACAGGTTAATAGATTGTTAGACATCCAAATCACTTCAGCTTCCATTGCAAAAGTTATTTCTTAAACTAATTTAATGCTTATGGCCCAGACATTGTTATACTCTTATAAAGGTGTTCTCCAGAACTCTCTAAAGACTCTCTGAACTATTTAAAGGGATCCCTAAGTGCTCCTAACATATGATCTCATGATAGAGCATAAAAAAAAATATGTAAGTTTTTTTTCTTTTTCACAAAATTGTAATAATAAATGCATGTTAACAAAAAGCAATTTCCGAAATCACTGAAAAACAACTCCATTTTGATTTTATTTTTTTACCATTGAAACTCGATTGTTAAGTCGTTAAAAATCATGTTATTAAGTCACAACAACTAGAATATCTACTTCGATTTTCTTAGAATATCTACTTCGATTTTCAAGTAAAAAAAAAGTTTTTTTAATTAGTTTTGCAAAAACAGTATAATAGAATTCGGTTGAAAGACGTCGTTAAAAAAAAGTTATTAAGTAATAGTTTAGAACTTATAAAAAAAGTCTTACAGGGCTCGTATTAAGCATATTGCGATTGCTTTTCACACTTCTGCGATTAGTTTTTTCTTAAAAAAAATCTTTTCGCAATTTTTTTTTTTTTTTTTGGTTGTTTAATTACTTTTTTTCTAGCTTAGCATTTTTTTTAGCAATTTTTAAAAGGAATATTTTTATCATAAAGAACGTCACACAAAATTTATTATTCTGAATAGATAGATGAATAGATGATTTACTCTTTCACACGGAGATTTTCTCTCAATGTAAAATATTTTTGAATTTAAATTACTTTAAATCTTTAGCGTGGAAAATTTTTAAAAAGTTGTTAAAGCGAAAGGTTGAAAAGGAAAAGACGTTTCGAGTTTTTTCTTCATTCTAACAAAACAGCTGGTTTTTATCTTTGTTTATCAAAATGTTTAAAATAAGGCTTAAAAATGTTAGAGCAAAAAAATTGCTGACTTTTATTTGCATTTTTATACTGTTTGAAAAAAAAACTAATAAAAAAGAATTAATTATTATTATTATTAATTCTAATAATTATTAATTAATATATTATTAATTAATTCTTTTTTATTAGTTTTTTTTTAAACAGTATAAAAATGCTAATAAAAACCAGCAGTTTTTTTACTTTAACGTTTTTTAACCTTATTTTAAACATGAAGTATAATTCGATTTATTGAACCAAATTTTTTTGTTTCACTTTTTATTGGAAAACAATTAAAATAGAAATTGAATAAAAACATCAACTTAAAAACCATTTAAATAAAAAACTTAATTATATTTAAACTTTTATTAGTCCTTTAATCAAGAAACAATAAATTATAAAAACGTTGTTTTTAAAAATCTAAGTTTTTATTAAGTTTTTGACGATGTTTTTTGATTTATTGACAATAATTTTTTAATTTATTAATTAAAACAATTTTATTTATTTGCTTCGTTTTATTTTAAAGGCATTTCATGTTATTAAACTGTATAAACTGTTTTACATTAACACAAGCTATTTATATTTTAAAGACAACTTTTTGTTTTATTGTTGTTTTATAGCTTTTTACAATAGCACTTAAATACTCATTAAAAACGTGTGTTTTATTGTCAGCGTGATCGTATTAAACAGTTTTCTATGACTAATTAAAGTGGTTTAAATATTGCAGTGACAGATCCAGGAATTTTTTGTGGAGGATGTTGAAATATTTTTGAATTCTGTACCATGTTTGCGTCTCCTAAAAAAAGAGCAAAAAACAAGGTCCTCAATTTCTATTATATTTTTAAGACTTTCAGATTCTGGTGGTGGGGGGGGGGGGGAGGGGATGCATACCCCTGAAATATAGTAATGTTTGCTTTTTACTCTTATTTTTTTACTTTTACTTTTTTAAGTATCGTGTTAAGCAAAAACAATTACTTAATAGTATTAAATACGTTACCTGCTCTTTACACTGTAACTGCAACTTTAAATTATAAACTTTAAATTATAAATTAAGCTGTAAATTATAACAGTAACTTACGCTATTTTAAACTCTGCCAAACAAGAAAATCATACGTGCTAAAGAGACAGTTTTATACTAACGCAAGCCTTTCCCCCCATTACTGCACATTGGCGCGAGCTATAAAAGAGAAAGGGGGGGGAGAGCAAAAAATTTTTTTTGCGATTAGATTTTTTTAGTTAATTCGAGACTTGTCTTAATTTCTAATAAAATGTCTATTTAACTTTATCAATTTGAACCAAAAAAATATAACAAAATTAACATAAATGTTAATTTAACTAAAACATTATACAATAATTATTTTTTTTATCAAGCGAGAATGAGAATAACCGTCACTTTTGAAACCATAAAAACGACTGAAATAAATTTATTTTTGTACTAAGGAAATATTTTAAAGAAACTTTCATGTGCCTACATCAATATTCATTTGTTAAAAACTGACTAAAAAGAGTTTAAAATTTGACCTCTATTCATTTTTGGCCGTGGAATTGCCCTTATAACACAAATATATAAATAAATATTATAAAAAAATTTTTAATATACAAATATATTTTTACAAAATGCTACAAAACTTATTCTTGTAAGTAGTTATGTGTTAGTTATAAAAAAACGACTTTACTTTTAAATTTATCTAACAATTAATACATTTGCAATAATGACGTTTTATCTACTTTGTTTAATTTGACGTACAAATGTTAGTTTTTTGAGGCAATAGAGTCAATAAACTTTAAACAAGACGCATTTTTTTTAATCAAAGAAAAGCGTTTTTTTGAAAATTAAATTTGTTAGTGTGTGTTCATTATTACATTTTAGAAAAGATAATATACATCAAACATTTTTTTTATTTTATGCTCTTTCATATGAGATCATATCTTTATAGCACTTAGGGATCCCTTTAAGTGTTTGACTAAATCTTGTTTCCTGCATGGTGGAAAATAACATCTTTGGTTCTAATTTTTAAAAATTCTGGAGAACTCTTGCCCCTCCAACTAATTATCCAATCAGTCTTTTTTCTATTTTTAGCAAGGTTTAGAGCTTTTCTGTTATAACAGAAAGATTCTATCATGCATAAGACGGTGGCGGCAAGGCAAGGACTTTTGCTGTTAACATATCGAACGCTTTCAATAGAGTCTGGCATGCTGGTCTTCTCCATAATTTTGCTTTATATGGTGTATCTGAGAATTTTTTTAAGATTAAGTCATTCCGTTCTAATCATAGTATCCAATTCATCTTTGAAGGCTAATACTCTTTTTCATTTCCAGTAACGTTTGTGGCACCTTAAGGATTTATTCTTCATCCGGTGTTGTTTTTTTTTTAACTTACTATTGATCTTCCTCGCAATCTTACATCTAAAGTCCTCTGTAACAACCTGGGGCTTGCAGTGGCTTGTAAGCTTCTTGTGGGTTTTCAGTGGCTTATGAACACCATCAAAATTGATGAATAAAAGTACTTCTACTGAATCCTCTATTTTATGTCTTCTTGGATTATCATTCACTACAGACCTCTCTTGGAAACCATATATATAATTCATTATAAAGTTAGCATCTGTTGCCTCATTTTATTTTGCTTGCATATTAATGCAAGGAAAAAACAAGAAAAAAAATTCAGACTCATACAACCTACAATTTTTTAAGTCTTCAGTCAGCTGTTTCCTTGCTTTTTGAAAAAAAAAAATTTCTAGTAACTCTTAACTAAATATTGCAAGCAGCCTTGTTAGGAGTGAATTATTATTATTATTTTTTTGCACAAATGCACAAGCCATAGATAACTTCTATTTTAATTAGTTTGAATATATTAGTTGTTTAATGCATTTAAATTTTTTTGTTTAATGAGACTTTATTGTAGGTTATTTTTTTTTTCTGTAGTAATGTTGCATTTTTTTAATTAGTTCAAAAAATTCTTGCAAAAAAAAGTTTCATAGCTTAGTAGATAGAATTATCATACTTTATATACGTAACTCTCATATTTTTGCTAGTATTAACATCCTTTTTTGCTGGTATGAAGATTAGTGTTCATACTTTTCTACTTTGTAAATAAAGTCCACTCATCAAAGCTAAGTCTAAAGCCTCTTTTTTATTTGCTTTCAAATGTTACCTAAAAAACGTTTTTTAATCTGATAAGTTGTTGCAAGATGGCGCAGCGAGCTGACAAAGTTGTCAAAGAAGAAGAATCTTGTTTCTCCTGTTTGAACAGATTTGCTTAGAGCTGACTTTTTGGATGAGCTGCATGCTCATCTAAAAAGCAAGTCTTGAGCCTTTATCATCTTTTAATATTTTTTGCATTTGCTGCATTTGGTCTGACGTTTCCCATTCTTAGTTTTGTAGTTCTATATTTCTTTCTTTATTATTTCAGTTTCCACGTCTTGGAATTTATATGAATGTATATTACTCTAAATAGTTTCCACCTAAAATATAATAAATACTTATACATTTGTTGTTATTATTATGGTACTAACAGCAAACTCCAACAATATTTGAAATAAGACAGCAGAGTTAAAACTCAAATGCAACATCATAAGTCACAAAATTTAAAACAAACCTTTTTCTACAAATTATATTACTGTATTAATTTTAATACTAATTTTAAAAAATTTAAATGATCTTGAATGTAACTTTACAAGACACATAGTATTATTATAATAATATTAAAAATTAAAAAAATATATATTGCTATATATATATATTGCTATATATATATATTGCTATATATATATATATTGCTATATATATATATTGCTATATATATATATATATATATATATATATATATATATATATATATATATATATATATATATATATATATATATATATATATATATTTCTTTTTTATTCACACTTATGTTATTTATTTTCTTCAGAAATTTGTATCAAAAATTTTTATTGTTATTTTAGGGTGGTTTTGCAAAGTGTTATGAAATGACTGACAAAGTAACCAATTCTGTTTTTGCTGGAAAAATAGTACCCAAATCTCTTTTAACAAAAAGTCATCAAAGAGACAAGGTATGTTTACAAAGCTAATAATAAAGCTTAATTAAATTAACATTTATTTATTCATTTTATTTCATCTGTTTTATGACATGTTTTTAAATGTAGTGGCTTTTAAATATAAACTTTTAAATATGCTCAAACATTTATTCATGTAAGCTGAACAATTACTCAGCATTTTTGGAGTAAATTGCTCAGCTTTATGTGAATAAAAATTTGTGCAAGTTTGTTAAATTTTTTATTCACATAAAGGTGAACAATTTACTCCAAAAATGCTGAGTAAAAGCAATTGGTTTTTTTAAAAAAAAATGCATTTTATGTTTAATACTAGCAGTAAATTAACATTATCTATTTGCAGTGTGAATTATAACCTAATATAATACATAAATCACAATAATACTATATTAGTAATTAAAAATGAATTGTGGTCTACTTTAACATGACTTGTTTTGTTTTATTTTCTTGTTTTAATTTTTGTATAAATTTATATACAACTTTTTTTTTCTCATATATAAAATTATTTAATAAAATTTTATATAAGAGAAAAAAAAAATGTTTTTATTTCAGGAAAAATTCACAGTTTTGCAAGAATTATGTTTTGTTTGTTACAAAATTTCAATTTTTCTGCAAAAAAATGTACAATCAACATTTTCAATTCATTAAATCATAATCTGTCAGTAACCAACTAATAACATTAAAATGTGTTGAACCAAAATTGTATGTTATGCGTTTGACATTGTTATGAATAAAATTTTTATGTATAAAATAAAATTTTTATGCATAAAAATTAAAATAATTTTGTAAAAATAGCAACAAAATACAAATATGTTTTGCAAGTTGTAATTTTGAATTAACAATTTTTATTTTTGTTGGCAATGTTTATTTGAAAAAGTTAAAATAATTGAGTAAATTGAAATATAACTTTTTTTGTAATTAATGTCTATCATTATTATTATTATTATTATTATTATTATTATTATTATTATTATTATTAATATTGTTATTTTTATTTATTTTTAATGATAAAGATGGCACAAGAAATTCAGATCCATCGTGAACTTTCTTATAAGCATATTGTTGGTTTTCATAGTTATTTTGAAGATGCACATTATGTTTATATTATACTGGAACTATGTAATAAACGTGTAAGTTTTATTTTATTATAAATATCTTTTTAACTAAAACTTTATGTTTAGGTAAAGCAGTCTCATTGCAAAAGTTTATAATATGAAAACTAATATTATAACCTTTTGCAATTAAAGCTATTATTTTGTCAGGTGGGGTACTTCTATGTTAAGTTATCTTGTTGTTATACACTTTTAAAAAACTGAATTAAATCATTTTAATTGTATATTTTGAGAGTATTTTTTGAGAGTAGTTGATTTAAAGTACATTAATTTTATTTCTTTACTGATGATACTTTGTTTGTATTTGTTTATCTTGTATCATTCCTGTTACTTTTTTTGTTTTGATCTAAGTTAGGATACCACACAAAAGTTGTGTAGTCCAGCAACTGCATAATATTATGTAGTCCAGAGATTGTGTGGAACCCGTCCCCGACTGAAAATGAAACTTTTTGCAAACCCAGCCCCGGCCTTGGCAAAATTATAAAATTTAGCCGGGGTTGATAATTTTTTTTTAATACTTATATACTTTAATTTTATGCTTACATTTACTATTTATTAAATACTGGCATACATTTATATATTTTTAAACTCTAATTAACTTCCAACAAGATTGCAAGCAACCACTATTAAGTTATGAGTTACTTTCAATAGAGAATAAGTTAAAGTACTAGGAAATTGTTAACTGAAGACTAGAAAAAAAAGTTGTATAAAAAAAGAAAACATGAAGATAAGTAAGAGTTATAAGGTTTTTTTTAATGTGCAAGGAAAAAAACTGGATTAATAAAAGTTTTTATAGTATGACGGGTCAGATACAGTAATAGGATGCAACTTTTTGAATAAGAAACCAAGTAAGAACGAGTAGCTACATTTACAATGTGCTTTATCTGAGAGTAAAAAGGTTGTTATCAATATAGGAATGCCAACATTATTACAAATTTTTTTTGCTGTAAATAAATGAGTTTTGTCTAACAAAAATTGTGGATTTTAAGTCCAGAATTTAAATCCATAAGCCACTGTAAGCCTTACGCTATTACAAAAGAAATATCACACTAAAAATCGGCTGCTTGTTCTAATCCAGGACTTGAGATAACGAACTTTTTTCTACCAGACTATTTGTCCGGTAAAGAATCAAGTTTGCCAGAAATGTCTGATAAAGATTAAAAACATGTGATCAAACGCCATTCCTGAACACACCTTAAATGTTTTGTTTTTACAACTTGACCACACAATTTGTATTGACAACACTAGGCATTTCAAAATGCACTGAAAATGGAAAGAAAATTTGTAAGATTATCTATCAAAAAGAAAATCTTAAAGATATAGAAAAATCTATGCTCAAAATTACTTTTTTTAAAAATCTATATTATGCGAAATTATTAAATATATAAATTATTACATAAATATATTAAATACATAAGTTATGTAATTATTAAATACATATTTAAATATGTAATAAGAATGTGCAATAAATACAAAATTATTAAACACATCAATTGCTATGTAAATATATATTAAATACATAAATTATTACTTTATTAAATAAAGTTACAAATTAATTTTAATGTTTACAATAAACACATTTTTTTTAAATTATCCAAGTAGGTAGTTACATATATATTTATTTTTATAAATCTTTTTAAACTTTTTCTAGGATTAATTTTATTAACACTTTTAATAGCGAAAACTTTTAACGCGAAAACAAACATTATATAACAACTCAAATTTAACAGTGTAATTAAAAGTACTGGTTTTTGTAAGCATTAAAATATATGACATTAAAATTTTTGTAAAACAAATTTAAAAGGGATATTGAAAGCTAAAATATTTGTTTGAAATTTATAAAAACTACTGGACAAAAAAAAAAAAAAATACTTATCTATAAATTTAAATTAATAACTAATTACAACATTTTAATATGAATGTACAAAAATCGGGCTACTTAGTTCAAAAAAAATGTAATGCTTTGGCGTCTTTTAAAAAATGAATTTACGTAAAGAAATGACATATTTTTTAATGTAGCTTTGTGTTCAATTTCAATTTTGTTTCATATAAAAAATTAAAAGTTAAAAAAATAAAGTTTATATATAATACTGCGTTTATTAAAAGGATCCTTCCTTGCGATGAGACAAGTTGTGTTCACATCATATATAAACATTAGAAAATAAGTTAAAAGTTAATTAAACTTTCCAAAACAAATTATTGAATGAGATATTAACAAAAAACTTTTTTAATTTTTAAAACCATTTTGTTTCTGGCAAAGGAAAGTTCCGGCTCTTTGACTTTTTTTATTTTTTAAGTCAGGTCTGATTAATGCGCTTATATTTGACGTCAATACAAAAAGTTTCTTTCAAAAATCTTTAAATTTAAATTGCAGGTGTTTCCTTTTTGGTGGTTAAACAAAAATATAAGATTCAAGTTTATCAGTTTTATATATATCTGAAAAATATATATTAGATCATTTTAAAAACAATTTCTTGAATTAGAAATATAAATTAGGCCTTCTCAGGAGACGCGTGCGGTCGCACGCCTTGACCACGCATATATATTTTTTTGTTGATAACATGGCCACGATTTTTTTTGCATTTATTAAAAATGGCGCGTTTTAAAAACGCGCTAAAAAAATCAAACTAATTAGTCATCTTATTGTTTTTTTTTATTAATAATAATTTATTATTACAATTATTTATGAGAAAATTAAAACCTAACAATAATGCACATATATATATATATATTTGTAATTAATGATAAAATAAAAAGATTAAATTAATATATAAATATATATATTTTTATTTGTTTTCATGCATTTAATAAAATTCTGGCAATTTTTCGTTAAATTTTTATATACTAAATGAATTACGTCATTAAGTAATTATTATTTCTTCCTGTTGGCTTGACAAGGTTTTAACTGAAACTTTTTATATAAGGAGAATTAAAAAAAAATTTTTTTTTCATATGTATTAAAATTATTTATTTTATTGTTTTTTTTTGTTTATTTATGTACTATTATTTTGGTGGACATATAGATGTTTAGAAAAGATTTAAATATTTAAAAATTTAACTTAGCAGCAAAGCCGGCGCGATAGGGGTATGTGTGTGTGTGTGGGAGGTGTGACCCCTCTCCATCAATGATTTTTAGTCGGCAAATTTGACCCTTAGTCGGCAAATGTGACCCTTTTTGACTATTTAGTCGGCAAATGTAGACTCTGTCGATAGGTTAGTCGATTAAGTCAGTCGGCAAATGTCGCTATGACAGTCGGTAAATTTTAAAAAACGAGGACCTTTTATTTTTTTGTTTTTAAGACGGCAAAAGTTGTTATGGCACACACCTCCCCCCCATGTGACCCCTACTCGCGCTGACTCTGCTTAGCAGCATTATAAAAATTCAATTACTCAATTAAGTAATAATAAAGATGTAAACTAAAATATTTTTCTGAAGTTACTCTTGGTCTTGCGAAAAAATTATTTCCGGTTTGATAACTTTCATGAAAGTTATGAAAAATCACTCAGGAAGAGTGCCACCAGTTTTTAAAAAATTTCTTTGTTAATTATTTTTAATAAATGAGTTCAATACTTATGCAATTCTTTTGTTACATAACTCTAACTCTTAATAATAGATTAAAAAAAATCATGATAACCGCTCGATAATGTAAGTGATGTAATTTAAGTAAAAAATACAGTATCAAAAAAACAAGTTTATTTTAAAAAAAATTTTATAAAAATTTTAAATTGGTATAGAATTATCTGCATTTTGTAAAAGTTTCTAATACAAACTGATTTACTGATTCGCAGAAATGAGACCTATAAGTTGAATTTGTTTTTTTACCTTGTTTTCCGTGTAACATCAGTGCAAGTGGCATTTTTAGTAATAAGTTTGCTTTCTTTTGGCTGAACAGAAAACTTTTAAGCTTATTTTATTTATTAGACTAACAGCTTTTATACAAAATTGCTAAAAGTTGAAGTTAAAAGTTTAAATAAGCTAATATTTGGTAAAGTTATTGCGCATGTAACGTAAGTTAAAAATGGAAATATTTTTTTTAATAAATGCAAAAAAAATTGTGGCCATGTTATCAACAAAAAAATATATATGCGTGGTCATTCAAGGCGTGCGACCGCACGCGTCTCCTGAGAAGGCCTGTAAATTATTATAAACATTAGTTAAAAATTATATAAGATTACTTTTAAAACAGTTTCCTAAATTTATTAAAAAAAAAGAAGATTTTTAAATCCTACAAAATTTAACCATGTTGAATTATATTGTACTTAGTGATGTACATAAAAAAATTGATTACTTATTTTACAAAAAAAAATATTCATCTTGTGTATTTTAAAGTTCGCTTCACTTAATCACTATTTTTATTATGCTTGTTTATTTAACACTTAACGATACATTGAACAAAAAAAAAAACATGCTACGTTGAACATTTTTTATAACCACCACAGACTATTTTTAAAGGGGAAAACCCAATCTGATTATGTAAAACTGAACTGTTTAAAAAATTCTGTGGTGAGCAAAAAAATTTATTATTGAAATCAGACATTTTTTTAACAGAAAAAACTATGCAGATTTGAAAGCCTAAAATTAGGCTCTGAACCGGAAGTATAATGGCAAAATAACAAATGCTTTTGTTAATATCTCATTCAATAATTTGTTTTGGAAGGTTTAATTAACATTTAATTTATTTTCTAGTGTTTATCTTTGATATGAACACAACTTGTCTCGACGCTTGAAGATCTCTTTGATAATTTTGGAACAACTAAATTGAGTAGAAATTAAATGCACATAAAATATATGGCAGACAAAATGACCAATAGATGTGGTTTTTTACCAGACAAGTGCCAGAAAATATCCAATATCCGGAGCTTATTTCAGGCCTTGTAAGCAGTTAAAAATAGATGTTAAATTTTTTATAAAGATTGTTATTACAGATAAGAAACAATACAGGAGCAAAGATAGAACCTTTTGATATCCTTAAAGTTACTTAAAATAAAGAGTATAGGCCTTCAAGAATAACTTTAAT